CATTGGGACCAAATTCTTATTGTGAGACATACACATCCTGCCTTCCCCAGCTGTTCCTCCCAAATCTACTTTTGCTTCAGATCTGGGCCATGCACCAAAGAGAAGACTCTGTTGATCATGGGTTACTACTCGAAGCCTGTTTTCTACAAGGACTCCAAAGGCTGAAGTCTCCCAGGGCACGAGGACAAATTTCTCTTCAGATAAACATGGCCTCTAGGAGCTTTCCTTTGTTAGTGTCTTCCTCAGACTGTGCTTTCCCACTGTATTCCTCTGACCCCCTTTTCAGTCAACAGGTGAAGTTCTTCCAGCCCACAGAGGCAGTAACATCATCTTTTGTATCTCCTTCTCTCCTTTGGCCATCTTGGGAAGCAAAATATTTTTTAGCCCAGGCTTGACAGCCACTCTTCGTGGGCAGTCCCCATCTGGACTCCAGACCCTGGCCTAGGTGAAGTCAGAGCTTTCTGACAGATTTCTGAATGGATGTTACAGGGATGGAGGGGCTCCCCAACCTGCTGTAGGGAGTAGCCTGAGAAGACTTGTGTTTGGAATCTTAATACTTTGGCACATAGCTATGTCCATTTTAGGATCTCTGGTGGGTTGGAGATACTTAGGTGTGGATTAAGGGGACAAGGAGCCTTTTTCTTAGCTCAAGTGTTCAAATACTGTTTTGAACAGTGCCAGCTATTCTTTATTGCCAGCCTTTCTGGGCGTCCCACCCCCATGTCATCTTCTCTAGTATTAACAGGCTCTCTGGTCTTAGAAGCCTGCCTTCAGTTCTGAGCTATCCCCGCTGACTGACCGGCCATGGTATTGGCTGCAACCTTCTGTTAGAACCACATAGGTTCCACCCTCACCTGGCCAGCCTAGTTACTTGAGGCAGTGGGTACAAAAGACCCTTCCAAGTAACGTGTTGATGACTTCAGCTTTCCGGGACCCTTTGTGTTCCTCCTTACCTAGAACCTTTAGATCTACTCCTGTTTTCTTTTCCCTGGAAGCCTCTTTCCAAGAGCCCTATTTAGAGCTGAACTGCACAGATTATAGCTGCTATACCACACTTAAGGAAGAGCGAAAGAAGGCTCTCAGGCACTGACCTTCATTTTCTCTTCAGCCAAACCAGTTTAATATGAAAACTCTAGCAGGATGAACTAGATTTCAATTTTCTCATGTCTGCCTGCCCTCCCCCTACACTGTACAATTACCCGTTTCCAGCAAAATAGAAGGGAAGGAGATGAACGCCTAGCAGTACTTCCCTCCTCCTCCCACAGGCCCTTCTTTGAAGGCCTCAGCTCATTTGTTCAGGCCATGTCTCTTCTCCCCAAGACTCACTCAGCTTGGTATCCATCATCTTGAATATTCCTCAGTAGATTCATCTTGTGGGCTTGGCTTCTGGATTCTCAATTGAAGGCAAGGAGCCGGATTCTCCAGGTCCTTGCAGGCACTACAGGGACCCATAGGGAGAAGAGGCTGGCTGGGGACCTCAGGATTGTGTGTGCCTGTCTGCCTCCCTGGCAGGCTGGGGAAGGGTGCAAGGCTCAGTGCACTGAACCATAGGAAAGCCTCACAACCAGTAGCAACATCTTCCGGGTAGGACTATCCTAGAAATAAGTGCATGTGAGACTGAGAAATTGCTCAGAGTAGGTTTTTTCCATAGCCGTTTTAGGATTGCACATTTTAGACCAATCTTGTCCAGTGTTTTTTCTGTCTTAACTTTTGTATTTTTTTTGTTAAGCCAACAAGCTGAGAATTTGGCCCTGCGGGGATCCATGTGGTAGGCAATAGCTGCTCTTTGGCCAAGGCCTTCATAAAGGATTCAGTCATCCCATTGGCTGTTCCCTAGACCCACCCCCAGATGAAGACCATGGTAAGGGAAGAATTTTGAGGTCAGTATAAACCAAGTAAGTCTGTTAATTAAAGCTGTTTTCCTCTGAGAGGGCATTTTGCATCAGGCCTGGGCTACATGCAGAATCAAACCTAGCTGTGAATTAGAAGAGGCACCATTAAATTTGAGGCCCAGAACATCCCAGGAGAAAGATTTGTGTAGTGTGTCATAAAGGTCTTCAGTGCATTTGGGCGCACCTCACTACTTCTGGGCCAGCCTGACTGCTGATGTCCACATTAGCACATTCCTGAACCCCTCCGCTAAACTCTAGCCCTGCTCCCCTATGTAGGTCAGATGTTCGGCCTCTGGGTTTGGGAAGAGAAAACTCTGCCATGGTGACAATCCTCAGGCCCTGGATTTGGGTATTGGCTCTTTTAGCCAGATTTGTGGGAACTGCTTTTGATTGAACCACTAAAGAAGCAAAGGGGGTATGAGGTCCCAGTTACCCAGGACAGACCAGATATCCCTCAAAAACAGCTTGGGTTCCCAGCTATAGACCCTAGGAAGGTGAATCAAACCTTTTCCCTTACTAGTTTTTCTTTCCAAATTTATTTGCTTTTAAGAACTATAAACTCTGGCTATTGTTTTCCATGTTCTCAGGGCCCCTGGGTAGACAGACAAAGCTTGATGATTTCAGAGCAGATACAGGCCAAGAAACCATGGCATTGAGTGTGCTGAGTCCAGACAAATGATATTTATATACACATCCAAATTTGAAGAGAAAATGTATTTCTTTAGGTTTCAAACACTGTAATAGATATAAAGCAAAAATAAAAACCTGTTGCAAAGTTCTAAATCGTGTTCTTTGGAGTGATCCTAGACTGGATTTTTTGGAAGTCACTGAAGTGAGGGTGCTTAAACTTTTGACCTAACAGTGGAATTAAGAATTGTTACAGCCTGCTTCTGCTATAAAGAATTTTTGAAATCAGCTTTATTGAAACATAATTGACGTACAGTAAATGGCACATATTTAAAATGAACAACTGGTTAAGTGTTGACATATTTGCATCCATGAAACCATTACCACAGTCAAGAGAGTGAACATGTCCATCACCTCTAGAAGTTTGCACATGCCCCTTGGGAATCCCTCCTTCCTGCCTAACCCCCAGCAACCACTGATGGAAGCTCTGGCTCTCACTGTGGTTTAATTTGCATTTTCTAGAGTTTCTGTAAGATTTTCACATTTCATCACCACTCCACAGCCCTTTGAGCCCAAAGTAGTTCACAAACTCCTCACTTTGGTTTAGATCAATTCCTAAAGCGGCGATTACAGACTAGCAGCCAAAAAGTTGATACAACCCAAAAAGGAGGGTTTTGGTTGGCTGACACAGTACGTTTTAAGTTTTAATTCGTTGCCAATATTAAAAGATGTGTCTATATTTTAAAAATATCTGGCACTCCTGGGCCTGAGTTTCTGCATGAAAACAATCTGCAAGAGCTCTATTACCCATCACCATCACCACCATTCCCAACCACCACTCCCAGAGGGCTCCCTTACTCTGGCAGGCGCTAATGTTGCCATTTTCTCTTACAGCAAAGAAGAAAGTAACTTTTTAACCCATGTTTCTATCAAATTTTCTTATTCCTTGCCTGTCTGTTCTCATTACCCAGCTGGCCCCTGGAGACCACCATTGACCCTTCCTGGTGCACCACTCCACCTCTCATCCCATGTGTACCTTGTTATATTATGTTCTTTATCTCTGCCTAGAACACCCTCTTCCTATGGAAATCCACGAAGGCCTGATTCATATGTTACCTCAAGAGATTTCCCACATGCTTTTCTGGAAATAATGAGGGCCTTGGTTTTGAGAGACTTGAATTCCAACGCTTTCTGAGCTTGAGATCCACCTTTATACTGTTATACGAATATTGCCTCTCAGTGTTACCTGGTAGACACTGCCTAAGGGGTGGGAAAGAGCACTGCGCTGAAGTCTCTTCAACTAGAGGAAATATTTAACATCTTAAGAGCCCTAAAAAGATGCCCAATTTGCACAACAATTTAAAACGTTCTCTGCCTTCTCAGCCCCCAGACTGTTGCTAGGCTTTAGGACTAAAGTATTTAGCCAACAGTTCTTGAACGTTCAGGCAGTTGTAAGTAAATAATTTCAACACCTCATCACTAATGCTGTAATAGAACTCTGTCTAGACCCAGGGAGCTAGGACAGACTGCAGAGTACTGAAAAGGTTCTGAAGTGAACTTTGAGCTCAGTGGGCCTCAAAAGATTTTGTTTCACCAAGAAGGGAATTTTGGAAGGTAGAAAAGCACCTGCAAAAACCTGGGAAATCCTGGAGATAGTAAAAGTAGAGATGTAACAAAAAAGGCAGAGGGATTGGGCAGGATTGGCTGGAAACAGAAGCCAAACAAACCATTTAGGCATTAAATTCCAGGCACATGGGTTGCTGGGCTTTATTCCATTATCTATAGACAAACAGAAAAAGAATTGTGATCTTACACTTGGAGAAAAGCTTGGCTTTTTTTCCCTTTTAGCTCCAGTGCAATTGGGACTTCGTAGAGGGTGGGCCAGTCAGAAAAGCCTCAGGAATCTGCTGAGGCCAAAGTCCCCCTTGCAGGGCCCCCTCAGCACCTTTCAGAGAGGGGCTCAAGCTGGTAATGAAGATGGAAAAATAAATTACTTTCCCAAGTTATTTTGATTCATCCTCAAGGAAAGCCTACGGTGGTGGTTGTTTCTTCTGAGTAAGAGACAGGGTAGTCCAGTAAAGATGGATGCCAGACTTCCTAGCTTTGAATCTGCTCTAATCATTCAATAGCGATGTGACCTTGGACAAGTTACCTAACCGTTGTCTTACAGTCCACAGCTGTAAATTGGCAATAACAAACAGTACAGTATTTACGAGGAACGGGGAAAGCTATTCAAAAAACTATTAAAACCTTCTATTTGCATACGGAAATTGAAGCCCTGGGAGGGAAAAGAATACCGTCACATAGCAATTAGTGAAGTTGGGACTGGAATACAGGGCTGATGCCCAGCCCAGTGTATTCTCTCCCTCGTCCTCAGGGTTCCTAGATAGTCGTAGATGTTCACAGCAGGAGGGACGGGGTGGTGGAGGCGTACCGGAAAAAGCAGCCAGGCGCAAGGCTCTGGGAGCTGAATCATAGCTCCTTCGAGACAGAAACGAGGCTGACGTGAGTATTCGTGCAGAATGACTGGCTCCTTTCGGACCTCCTGGGTCTGCGGCTCCGAGGACTAAAACCCTATTGCATCTTGGGAGTGGGGGTCAGCCCCGGTGCATGGAGGGAAGCGTAGTCCTTTCCCTCCCCTCCCTTCCCAACTCACCCGCCTCGGAGGCCGCCTTCGCTTCATCTTTCCCAGCAAGCCTCGCGCGAGCGCCGGCTATTGATTGGCTGCGGCGCTAGCAGGAGGCTCTGCCGGCAGCAGTTATCCAGGGTTTCCGGTACGAGGGCAGAGCGGGCGAAGCCGTCAGGGCGTCGGCGGTGAGGTGCGTACAGCGTCGGCTAGGGGTACGAAGCGAGCCAGAGGGTCTGTGGTCCCAGACGCTTCTGGCCGGTGCGAGGAATCGCGTGGATTCCGTGCTAGGGCTCGGGCCGGGGGGCAGGGCTGAGGCCTGTGCGCATGCGCGCGCCCGGCGCGCGCGGCTGGAGGGCGCGCGAGGCGTGGGTGGCTGCGCGCGGGTTTGAGGGGGGAGCGGCACGTGGGGCGTGGGGGGCGGGGAAGGACCGGGAATCCAGCGTCCCGCCACGTCAGTCCCGGGCCCTGAACGTATCCCGCGCGCGGCCTGTGGTGAGGGGACCGTGTTGTGCCGGGAAGTGGCTTCAGGAAAAAGGAGGCCGCTCCTCCCTCGCTCCTGGGCACACCAGGCGCCGGTGACGGACCGGAAACGGAGAACCGCTGGCTCCCTCCAGGGAAGGCCTGCCGGTTTGTTTCAAGAAGCTTTGCGCGCCCGGTGTTGGGATTTCTGATCCAGGCTGCGAAGAATTTTAAAGTCTGGAAAATAGCAAGTGTGTTTGTTTCTATAGGATCTGCTCCTAACCTAACATTGCAAACCACAATGAAGAACCAAGACAAAAAGAATGGGGCTGCCAAGCAATCAGGCAACACTTCCAACCCAAAAAACACCCCGGGGCAACCGGAAGCTGGACCCGAGGGAGCCCAGGGGCGGCCCAGCCAGTCGGCTCCTGCGACAGAAGCTGAAGGTTCCACCATCCAGGCTCCAGGGAAGGCTGAGGGTGTGTGCCAGCTCTGCTTTTCCAGCGGGCAGGGGGAGGAGTTTGTGGTGCGCCGGTCCAGCTTCTGGAATTAGAGGCCAAGGCCACTGTTTACCCAGCAAGGAGGAAATGTAGAATGAGAGGAGGACAGCGCTGAGTCTGTGCAGTCCCCACTGGCTGCTGGGGAGTTGATAGAGGCTCCCACTCTAAGCACAGGGACAGAACTCTCTTGAGAGAAGGCTCTGACAGGATCAAGTCAGGTTGGCAGTCAAATGAGACACCCAACCAGCAAATCCAGGTTACAAACACGTCGTTCACCAGTGGGTAACTGCTGTTTATATTTGAGGCATTTCTGGGACTTTTTTTTCCCCACCAGAGAAGGAAGGATTTATTACTTGCAGCAAGTAAGGAGAACACTTGCTTTCCCAAAGCAGTGTCTCCTCTGGAACTTTTTTCTTTTTTTTTGTCGGCGCCAGCGGCTTGCAGTATCCTAGTTCCCCAACCAGGAACTCATGCCTCCTGCAGTGGAAGCATGGAGTCCTAACCACTGGACCGCCAGGGAATTCCCTGAAACTTTTTTTTTTTTGCGGTACGCGGACCTCTCACTGTTGTGGCCTCTCCCGTTGCGGAGCACAGGCTCCGGACGCGCAGGCTCAGCGGCCATGGCTCACGGGTCCAGCCGCTCCGCGGCATGTGGGATCTTCCCGGACCGGGGCACGAACACTTGTCCCCTGCATCGGCAGGCAGACTCTCAACCACTGCACCACCAAGGAAGCCCCCTGAAACTTTTTTAATGGCAAGAGGTGACATTGGCGGGGAGGAGAAGGGGATGGACTGGACGTAGAGTTCCTGCTACATGATGCCACCCCTGTGTGTTGGATGGTCTACTTATTTGATTTCTTTTATACCCACAACAAGCGTGGTTGGGCAGTAGTGAGAAATAGTTACATCGTTTTACAGGGAAATAAACTGAGCCTTAGAGAAGTTAGGCAACCCAAACCAGTACGTTTGGGCCTGAAAACTCCCAACCAGTGGCATAACCATCTTATTTCTCTCTCTGCCCCTCATCCTCTCCTGCTGAAGGAGCACAAGCCAAAACTGCTCAGTCTGGGGCCCTCCAGGATGTCTCTGAGGAGCTGAGCCGCCAGCTGGAAGACATCCTCAGTACATACTGTGTTGACAACAGTCAGGGGGGCCCAGGCGAGGATGGGGCACAGGGTGAGCCAGCTGAACCCGAAGATGCAGAGAAGTCCAGGACCTATGCCTCGAGGAATGGGGAGCCCGAGCCAGAGACCCCAGTAGTCAATGGTGAGAAAGAGACTTCCAAGGGGGAGCCGGGCACAGACGAGAGCCGGGCAAGTGACGAGGTCGTAGACCGAGACCACCGAAGGCCACAGGAGAAGAAGAAAGCCAAGGGTCTGGGTGAGCAGAGGGCAGCTGCTTGTGAGGCTGGTGAGGGGAGGGAGTTTGGACCTGACATCCTGGGCTAGCCTGCTCTGCCAGGATTCAGAGGAAACCCTACTTCCAGAACTGTCAAACTGCGTCGTTTAATCAAAGCCGGGACAGTGGTGCCATAGATAGAGGTGTACAGGTTGTTCACTGCACAAGGGCTTCTGGCCTTGGGAGCAAGCAGGAACCGAAGTCCAGCCTGCTCTCTTTGAGAGATGGAAAGCAGGAGTCCTGAGTCGGCAGTCTGTGCCCGCCAGCACCATTTCTAATTTGCTGTGTGACCTTGGGCAAGACGTTTCTCCTCTCTGGTCCTTAGTTTTCACTCCTCTGCACAATAAGAGAATTAGACTAGACCAGGGTTGAAAATTCAAATAAACCAAGCTAGCCAGAGGGCCCCATGAGACCAAGAGAATGCCCCCTTTATCCAAAAGCTTGACTGCCACCTGGTCCCAGTGAGTTGATAGCATGTAAAAATTGTAGCTGGCTTTTTTTTTTTTTTTTTAAGCCAGAAATCTAGAGTTACTATGTGAAATCTCTAGATTTTAATAGTTGGCAACTAATACGATAGGAGCCAAACAGAACCCATCTGTGGGTTGGATTTGTTTTGGCCTGTGTGCCCATGATTTGCATTCTCTGCATTGATCTCTCAGAGCCTCCCGGGGTTGACACTTCAGGAGCCTGGCACAGTGCTATGTACGGTGGCCCTCTCTTTGACTCAGTCACAGGCATGGGGGAGTCACTTGGGTGGGGATGGAGGGTTAGTGTGTGTCAGAGAATCAAAGGTGGTATTACACCCATGTCTTAGTCGCTACTCCCCCACACCCCCTACCTGTTGCCCTAATTTAAAGGGTTTTTTTTTAGTTATTTTAATCTTAGGATCAAATATTGAAAGCTATATTTATTAATTGGGGAGGATAGTCATTTTAAAGTGCACTCTTGTCTGCCTCTGTTGACTGGAGTGCAGTGTTCTTAAGGAGACCTGTTCCTTTTGCATCCTTCCTCTTTCAGAAGGGCCTTCCTTGCATTGAAACAGCACTGACTTCGCAGGTGGGACACCTTTCTTTCACCTGTAGGTAGAGTAGGCAGTTTTCTTTCTCCCATTCGTGGTGCTCACCACGGGGATTTGACAGAGACTCAGTCATTCATTTAATTAGTATTTATTGAGCATGTCGTCTGTGATGGGTGCTGGAGAATAGGGGAGGGCTACCTTAAGGCAGAAGAGTGGGCCCAGACCTGAAGGGGGGGCCCCCAGAGAAGGGGGTACATGCCTTTGCTCCCTGTGCTTTGCAGGAAAGGAGATCACGTTACTGATGCAGACGTTGAACACGCTGAGTACCCCAGAGGAGAAGCTCGCGGCTCTGTGCAAGAAGTATGCTGAGCTGGTCAGTTCTCCCCATTCTCCTCGTACCCTCCCTGCCCTGGGAGGTCAGCACATTTTTAATTACTCTGAGTCGCATTGTATTTCTCCTGTACAGTGCCGAATAGGCTCATGGGAGGGGACCTGAGCTGAGAGAGGACAGGGTCTGAGGAAGAGGTGAGGGTCTGTGAAGCCAGGGAGCCAGAAGGATTATCTGTCGATAATGAAAAGGCCACCTTGACTCTAGGAATCATGTTGAGGAGAGAAATGGTGAACCAGGGTCTGTTGCTGAGTATAAGGAGGTGGGTAGCAGGTGGGCTCATCTGAGGGCATGGGTGTCCCGAGAGTTGGGGGAATGTCATGGTCTGAGAGTCTTGCGAGCTTTGAATCTGCAGTCAAAGCTCAGAGAGAAACTGGCATCTGCTGGCTGTGCCCCTCTGCTTGTCCTTAGCGTCCATTTCTGTATCCTTGAGCTGGGGCCCTTGGGGTTATTGGGGGCAGTGTGTGAAGCACCCTCATAGTGTCCAGCCTGAGCTGTGGTGGCTGGAGTCGGGTCAGCTCAGGAGACCCTGGGTCCCCACGGGGCTCTTACCTGCCGTCCCCATCCCCATTCCCAGCTGGAGGAGCACCGGAACTCCCAGAAGCAGATGAAGCTCCTGCAGAAGAAGCAGAGCCAGCTGGTACAGGAGAAGGACCACCTGCGTGGCGAGCACAGCAAGGCTGTCCTGGCCCGCAGCAAGCTCGAGAGCCTGTGCCGAGAGCTGCAGCGCCACAACCGTTCCCTCAAGGTGGGCCAGCCGCTTTCCCTGAGCTCACTTGTCTTTGGTGGCTTTCCCCCTAAAAGCAGCACAGGCTTTCGGCATAGAAAGAGATTTCCCCAATGATGCCGTACTTTAGAGAGCTACTTGTAACCACTTGACATGCACTTGTATTAGATGAGATAAAGGCTAAGGTGTTGAAGGAACCTGGATGCAGGGCTTTAGGTTTCTCCATCCCATAGCAGTCCCAGGTGAGCAGCTGGAGGGTGGAGAGGGTCATCAGTCTGGAGTGCTGGGGCCTTTCTCCAACCTCTGCTTCTCCTAGGGTGGGGTCAGTCTGGTTAAGGCTTGGTCATTACTGTGATCTCCAGATAGCTTTTGTATATATATCCTTTATATTTCTTTAAAAATTTGCATCAGTAAATATATTTTGCAACTTGTTTTTCTCAATTGTATTTTATTTTAAAACATTACAAATTTAATATAAATGTGATGTAAAAGATACAAAGGTGACAAAAGTCTAACAAAGCAAAGGTAATTGTTGCCCACCCTCCTTGACCCTGGTCCCGGTCCCAGCAGAAACTAATGGGAAGTAAACCTACTTATATGTAAGTCTAAGTGCAGCCTTCTGACTTTCCTGTCTACATATAAAAGCTTACGTAAAATATTTTTAATGAAATTATTATACATGTATTGTTTCATAGCCTATTCCATTTTCTCACTTTACACAATGCCTTATCTTTCCCTAGCAGTTTTATAAGCCTCTCTCATTCTTTTTAACAGCATCATTGTATGGATATGCTGCATCTGATCAGTACCCTAGTTAATGTGTTTTGTGTCGTTTCCAATTTTTCACTGTTTCATGTATAGAGCTACAGTGAAAATTCTTGTTATATATATCCCTGGCTAATTACATGGAATTTATCCATAGGATAAATCTCAGAAGTGGAATGTCTGGGTCGAAGAATATGCAAATTTTAATAGATTTTGCCAGATTGCCTTCCCACCAACAGTGTCTGAGTGCCTAATTCTGCACAGCCCTGCCAACCCTGGGAATTACTGAATTTTAACTACTTGGTCAGGGGAGAGGGGGTGGGTCAGAGATAGAAGCACATTAAACTGAGACAAATAGGTCTTCCAAATCCTGTTCTGAGGCCTGGAAGAGTAGGCCTCAGGAAATCCAGATTTCTTTAGAAAGGCACTTACGTGTATGCCTGCATTTTTCTAGGGAGTCTCTGGCTCGATGTCACCCGATATACAGAGGGGTCCATTAGGAGCCCCCATTGCATGACCTCTTGGATCCTGGCTACTCCTCACTTGGAAAGCAGGGAGGGCTACTGGGAGAGAACATACCTGAACTGGTGGGGGAGCCCTGTGAGTCTGGCCAGGGGACAGTGGATGATGGAGCTGGGGCTGACTTCTCTGCCCAGGAAGAAGGCGTGCAGCGGGCCCGGGAGGAGGAGGAGAAACGCAAGGAGGTGACCTCGCACTTCCAGGTGACACTGAATGACATCCAGCTGCAGATGGAACAGCACAATGAGCGCAATTCCAAGCTGCGCCAGGAGAACGTGGAGCTGGCTGAGAGGCTCAAGAAGCTGATTGAGCAGTACGAGCTACGGGAGGAGGTGAGGGGTCGCCAGGGGACTGTGGGTTCTGGGTGGATGCCGGTGCCAGGCAGCGCTTTCTAGGCTTCATCCCTTCCCCCATTCTACGGGAGGGGAGTGATGATGTACATCCTCATGTAGATGAGAGCTGAGGTGTTGAGAAGAGACTCGCCTGTGGCCACACAATCGCGGGTCCACAGCACCTCGTCCTAAACAGTAGGGCCAGGTGTCTTTTGGAATTAGAACTGTCCACGTTTTAGACTAGAGTTATGTTCATGGACTGGGTATTACGTAGCACCCCCAGCAGGGCCGTGTGGCAGCACCCCCAAATCAGACATGTTAATGCTTATGCAATAAAACTTGTGAGTGTTCTCGCCTAGGTTTATAATTAACCTTACAATGCTTATTAGCCTTACAAGTTTATCTGCTTGGTTAGGGCAGTTTCAGTTTTCAGAGTATTTTAGAATTTGAGGAGCTGGAACTGTGTTCAGTGATCGACTCTAGGGGCTGTGTCCTCTGATTACTTGCTGCTCTGCTGCCCCTGCCACTTGAAAGGGCAGGATATCACTCCCTTGGCTGGTGTTGGTTGCTGCCCCAGGCGCTCAGATCCCTCTCTTTGGGTCCCCACACGCCAGTCACTTGGCGTTCTGGGCTTCTGTTTCTTAAATGTTGTGAACAGGGAGATTGGCAGCTACCTTACAGGGCTGGACCAGGCCCCTTCCTAGACCGTGGGGTGTGGTGGTGGGTGTGGTGGTGGGTGGGATGGGCAAGACCCTGCCCTCTTGGGCTCACAGTCCAGTGTAGTGATCATGTGTGCAGGGCCTGGAGGGGCCTTCCCTGACCCACCTCTTTTCCTGTGCTTCATCCTCTGGGATGAAGGCTGGTTTGAGAGGAGTTGGTTTGGTTCTTGTCCCTCAGCACTGAGAGACATGGAGGCTTCCTGAGCCACCAGAGTGAGGCACCTACTTCAAGCAGCTGAGGCCCCTCTTTGTCTTCCCTCTCCTTTCCCCCTGGTTCTCCCTGTGGGAGTGGAGGTGCACCCCGTCCCCAGTCAGATTCAGGCACTCCCATCCTGCCCCACAAGCCTCCCAACCGTAGATCACAGGTGACTGAAATTCATCATGTCTCAAACTAGACGTGTCTCGAAGCCACGTTTTCTTCCCCCATCCAAAAAATATATCGCATTCTCCACCTCCCTGTTTTCAGTTGCTTTGACCTTTGAAGTAGCACTCACGTTCATCACCACCTCTCCATCACTGTTTTCTCACCTGGTCCCAGTTCCCGGGGCTCCTCCAGCAGTCAGGACAGCCATTCCTTGGGATCCACACATCTGATCTTCACCTACAGATACAGCAGATCTCTGCCAACTGAGCTAAGCTGTTATGTTGGTAGAGAAGTCGTGTTTGCCCTTTCTTCTCATTTACAGGGGAGTTGGGCTCCAGAAGTAAGGGTTCTCAGTCCAATGGAGTACGTAATCTTTCTTAAGGCTAGAGATTGGAGTATTTTTATTACTTGGCTTCCTGGGAGCTGATCTCATCCTTAAACCCCTGTGCTCACTCTAGAGTGACTCAGTGGGAAAGACACAAGGTGAGGTTGGGCAGTAGACCTTCCAGGGACTTGGGTCCCACATCCTATGGGACACGTGGGAGTCCAACATGTCAGACTGAGGTGGTAGGCTGGCAGTGCCCTGGTCTCTGCACATGGGGCATCCCTGCAGCCCCTGGGTCTCCCTGAGAAAGGGAGCTCCTGACAGATGGACCCCTCTCATGATGCTTTCCTGCAGCACATTGACAAAGTCTTCAAACACAAGGACCTACAGCAGCAGCTGGTGGACGCCAAGCTCCAGCAGGCCCAGGAGATGCTGAAGGAGGCAGAGGAGAGGCACCAGCGGGAGAAGGATTTTGTGAGGCTCAGGCCCCAGGGGTGGGGGTCTGGGAGGAGGCAGGTTGGGTTCTGGCTCAGCTTATAGTCAAGTTTGTACGGGAGAGGTTGCTGTCTGGTCAGACCAGGGCACTGCTTCCTCAGACACCAGTCTGAGAGCAGGAAGCCTTGATGGGTTATGGTGCGTGTGGCGAAGAAAATCCAGACGTAGCCTCTGGGGGCTTCTGATGGAATCTGGGGTCCTGTCTCGGAAATAGCTCCTCAAAGAGGCTGTGGAGTCGCAGAGGATGTGCGAGCTGATGAAGCAGCAGGAGACCCACCTGAAACAGCAGGTGAGACTGTATAGCCTCCCCCTGTGCCTTCGTGGTCCCCACGCTGAGCCCCATCCTGTGGGGAGGGAAATGGAACCCTCATTCTAGGACCACCTTGACTCCTGTGTGACCTTCCTAAGACTTTGTTCTCCCCGGACCCTCCCAGCACCTGTGTGGTGGTGACCAGGTGGCTAGGTGAGCTCGAAGTACTCGGCTCCTAGTCAGAATTGTTGTGCTGCTGTTGAGGAGGTGGGGACGGAATGGGTGATTTCAGTTACATTAGTTAGACTTCATTCTGGAAGAAAAGTTTGAAAACAAACATAAAAGAAAATACAAGTCACCCCCAAATCCTACTTTTTAGGCTTAACATTTTAGATTATATCCTTCCAAATATATGGTTTTTGTTTTGTTTTAAAGAAAACTGGTATCTCAAGAGAGTTGTTGGGTCAGAGGGCCAAGGGTGAGTCTGAGTGTGTTGACCAGAAGTGCCCTCCAGAGGAACCCAGTCTTACCTGTGGGCTTCTTTCTCACCCAGCTTGCCCTATACACGGAGAAGTTTGAAGAGTTCCAGAACACTCTTTCCAAAAGCAGTGAGGTGTTCACCACGTTCAAACAAGAGATGGAAAAGGTAACAGTGGTCCAGACTGGGTGTGGCTGCAGGGGCATAAGCGCTTCATTCAGAGTTGAACACTGGGCCTGCCTTCAGGAAGCCCCCTCCCTGGAGTGCTTCACGGGGAGCTGTTTACAGTAATAGTGTGATTGAGACCATAAGTAGGGTCTGGGTGGGCTGTATTTAACTGGAGACACCCTGGGGTGGCACAGAGGGCACTGACTGCGCCCAGTAATACCTTGCCCCCTTGGGATCGTTCCCCACTTTGGAGACACAGATGCACAGACAGCCTGGACCCCTGACCATTTCCTTTTATGTGTCACATAACCCAGATGACTAAGAAGATCAAGAAGCTGGAAAAAGAAACCACCATGTACCGGTCCCGGTGGGAGAGCAGCAACAAGGCCTTGCTTGAGATGGCCGAGGAGGTGGGCTGAGTGTGACCTGCATCTGGGCTGGGGGTGTGCAGCTCTTGAGTACTGGGCCCTTTCCTGTACATTGTACCGAGAAGTGATGCAGCTGCCATGAGGTGGAGCTGGGATTCACATGCATGTCCATCCAAGTCCAGAGGCACTGTCGGCTGTCTCCCCGAGGGAGGTGGTGAGCTTAGTGATAGGTCTGTAGGGGAAGCAAAGAGAGCAGATGGAAGAAAGGAGGAAAGGAGCAGAAAAAACAAGGGGTGCCAGTGATGCGCATAGCTTGCATGCAGCTGCAGAACTGCCCAGATAATTTGATTTTGTGGCTTGAGATGTAGGAGGAGAAAATAACTAATTGACGGAGAGGCTGCTGTGTGCCAGACCCTGCTGAGTGTTTAGATGTGCCGGTTCATTGAGCTCTCTTGAGATCTGTGAGGGTGACATTAGTAGTCCAGTATAACAGATAAGGCAGTAGGCTCAAAAGCCAAGTACTTTGCTAAGGCCATCTGGTTGATAAACAGAGGAATCCATTGTCTCCAAGCCATGCCCCTTCTCTACACCACACTGCCCCCAACCGACAGCCAAGTCTCAGCATAAACCAGGGCTGTTTACTTGAAAGCGGCCAGCTTTTTTACTCTGATCGGTGCCCAGCGTTGTTAAAGTGTGAATGCTTTCTACCAAGTGGCAGTGTTGGGTGGGGCGTTGATGACATGGAACTGAAGGCCCTATGTCTCTCCCTAGAAAACACTCCGGGACAAAGAGCTGGAGGGCCTGCAGGTCAAAATACAGCGGCTGGAGAAGCTGTGTCGGGCACTGCAGTCAGAGCGCAATGACCTGAACAAGAGGGTGCAGGACCTAAGTGCTGGGGGCCAGGCTCCCCTCACTGACAGCGGCCCTGAGCGAAGGCCAGAGGCTGCCAATACCTCCAAGGAACAGGGTGGCGAGGGGCCCAGCGTCCAAGCACCTAGCTCCCCAAGGGTCACAGAAGCTCCTTGCTGCCCCGGAGCACCGAGCATGGAAGCATCAGGCCAAACTGGGCCCCAGGAACCCGCCTCCATCACTGCCTAGGGAGCTGGGAAGGGAGCGAGCAGCCCAGCCAGGCCTGGCCCATGTGAGGCTCCCGCCGCTGAGGCCCAGGGTGCTGTGACCTGGCTGCCATCTGACTCTTTGCAGTTTTGGATTTTGTGGGTCAGTTTTACGTACATATGGCATATGTGCAAGGCCTCATACATTTATATCTGTAAGTGTAAAACGGGCTTGCATCAGAGGTGGGGGTGTGTACAGATGAAGTCAGTGGCTCTTCTGTGAGCTGAAGAGTCTTAAAGCGGAGTTGTCGTCTGTGGCTGCCGTCACAGTAAGTTGGCAGGAGAAGTGATTTGAGCGTTTCCCTGCCCAATTTGAGGCTCAGCCCCTCCCTCCCTGCTACCTTCAGGGCTCATGACAGGTGACACACCCAGGCCATGACTGTGTTCTCCTGTTAGTGGGACTTGGGCAGCTCTGGCTCTCCTAGCTCTCCTGGAAGCTCCTTTGCTTCTCTTAATCTGGAAAAGGGGTCGCCAGGCAGAGCATTGACAAGGCACTCAGAGCCAGTGATTAGACTGCTTCCCTACCTAGGACAAGGGACCTGGAGCATGTTCTGTGCGGGATGATGTGCTGGTAGGGAGCCCCTCAGCTTCCCCTGCGCTCCGGTAGTGCCAGGACCAGGCCAATGATGCTTCGCAGTAGCCTTATCATTCACAGGTGCCTCTGTAGCCTGCACAAATGATTGACGAGATCACCAAAAGGATTCTTTCTGAAGGTTTTTGGGTTTTGTTCTGTTTGCCTTGGTTTTGTTTCGGTTTTGCACATGACAGTGTTTGTTTTGAGGATCTTCTGAGGAAGAAGGGGTGCTATGGTGGTGGTGCCTGGGTTCCTGGCCTCCAGTGCCCCACCCCCTCACCACCCCACCTGGCACCTTTGCCATGTTGGTGCTCAGGATTCCTGCTTGATGAAGTCAGATTGTTTGTTTATAGTGAGAGAAAGGAAAGGGCTTCTGATGGCTTTGTCACAAGCTTACAATCCTGGGAGGCCACTGCTGATGCCACCACCACTGTCTCCATGCAGCAGTTGCCGGGCCCCGGGTCCAGCTGTCCCTTTGGCCTCATGAGTCTGTTTCTGCTTCCTGCACCCACACCACCAATGTGCATTCTTTTGAGGTTTGCCGTGATTTTGTTGCCCAAGTAGTAAGAGCTGTGATATGTCCCCCTTGACATCCCATTTCTTCCTGTGTGGGAGCCCCCAGCTCTTATCTGACAGCCAATGGGTAAGAATGCGACTCAGCCATTGACTGAGCCCCAGAAGTCCACAGAATGGCTGCAGATAGTTGTGTGTGTTTTCCTCTCTAGCTCCACCACTCCCACCCCTCATACATGCTACTCTATACTCTGAAAGTCCTGCTGGTGGCAAACTTGCCAGTGTATTAGGCAATCTTTGTACAGAACAATGTTCTGGAACAGCAGAATGAGTCTTGGGTCAGGAAGCAGGGCTACGCTGCGTTTGGGGTCCTATAACCCCATCTCCAGCTGGGCCTCAGCTTCAGTATAGCTGAGGGAGCCACAGACCAAGATGGATCGGAGGGTTGAGTTTTTGCTTCTTGCTGTATTTCCTTGAAGTTAATTCATTATCTTATAAGTCCCTTCATCTTCCACAAATAGCCCGCTCTTTTCAGCCCTTAACTTAAATCCCTCAGATAATTAGGTTCATGAAGAGTGCTAAGTACTCCTGAATTATGTTAGGACTTAGACCAGAGATGGCAAATGAATGGCACAGCATTTCCCCTCTTCCCCCCATGGTAGGTACCACTAATCTGCTTCGGAGTATTCCCTGCTAAATCCCTGGTATATCATTTCTCAAGATTCCCCCAGCAACCAGTATGAGTGTTGAGACCTATTTGCCATCCCTGGCTGAGATACTGCTCTGCTGAGGAACATAAGAGCTGCCAACCCCATACGGGGTTTGCTGAGCTAAGGAAGTACAGAGAAGAGACAGAAGTTTCTGCCTGCCCCCTTCAAGACAAGCAGGAAGGCCTGCAGTGACCCACATGATTGCCTGCCCCACTTCAGCTACCTCTTAAAGCCCATAGTGTTGGTGGGGAGGGGACTGTTGGAGCCCAGTGTGGTGTGGGGAATTATAGCCCTCGGAAACCAAGTCTAGCTGCTGAGGATCTACAGTGAGCAAGGTGGCCCCAGCTGTGCAGGGTAGAACCTCTGCTCTCACCTCCAGCCGCCTGTCTCTAGGCATCCAGGCTAGGCTATAATTGGGGACCCCATTCTTCTTCCTGTTCGTTGACCAAATCTTAACCGATCACTACAGCTGCTCTGCTTGCTCTGCTTCCCAAAGTCAGCCCAGGTTTCTGGGTGCTGCCCATACCGGCCAGGGTCCTGGGCCAGATGAAGAGGTGACCTATCCATGAGTGAAGACCAGTTCCTTCCTCCCTGGGGCAGGTCTCATGCCCATGACCTCAGTTTTAGGACCAAGAGCTGTGTTGGTTTCTTAGATTGCTAGTTTTTCCTCCAGGGGACCACAGCAGGTGAGGCTCTGCTGACAGTAATTTGTGCTCAGGGTCTTGTCCAGCTGAGAGCTTCATGTACACCAGATTCTGAGAGGTGTCAGCAGCACTTTTAAAAAATTTTGTTTTCCGTGAAGTTTTTGGACCATGGGCTGCGCTCAGGCACTTTCTATAAGAGAATGTTATGTCTGTAAAAATGGTTATTTCCCCTCCTCCACCCCCACCCTGGTGGCCCTTCGGAGGGCTGACCAAAAGGCCAGTGGAGCTGCCCTGGTGTCTATGGGGGAGGGCCGAGGCCTGCTGAGTTGGTTCTCCAGCTGCTGCTCCAGCCCTCCCACCTTGCACAGCACAGAGGAGGTCATCCTAGGGACATCCAGGCACCCGCCTGGGGGAAGGGTGCTGCCTTCTGTCCCTGTAACTGCTTCCCTTATGGCCCAACCTGGCTGTCCAGATTTGTTTGAAGCTGTGCTGACGGCCTTTTTTTGTCTCTGTTTGGTATTCACAACAGCCAGGGACTTGATTTTGATGTATTTTAAAACCACATTAAATAAAGAGTCTGTTGCCTTAACTTTTTTCTCTACTGACCTTCGTGGTCATTTGCTGCTTTTGGGTCCATCCAGCCACACTGATGTGTCCACATCTGCTACGAAGTCTCTGGCTCTGCCTCCCAACAGTCACCGCAGGCTCAGGACACTAGCAAATACACTTCAGCTGCCTGAGTGGAGCCCTTGGCAAAGTTGGTGTGATGCTCATCATATATATATGATTTTTCTCAATCAAAAGTTGTCCCTGTCAAAAAAAGAATTGTCCTTGTTCCCTGAGGGTTTACAGGCTAGTGACGGGGAAAGGTGGTTTTAGATACAGAAAGGTTGGTTGTGATATGGGAGCATGGGAGAGGTCCTGTTCCCTTCAGCAAGGGGATAGAACTGGATCCTGGAAGGTCCTTAGGACCCAAAGGGCAAGTGGAAGTTTGACATTTAGTGAGGAAGTGGTTGACAATGCAGGTGCACAGGAGGTTGGTGGGAGATGAGGCAGGGGCCAAATCACGAGCCTGTGTGCCAGGTTAAGGAATTCGTGCTAGATCCAGGAGACACGGGCAACCGCCTAAGTTGTTTAGACAGGAAATCGGTCGAGTCCATGAGGAAGACAAAAAGCAAGGAGACCAGAGAGTTGGGCATAGGCCAATGGGGGCCCAAATTAAGATGAGGGGACACTGTCATCACTGCCACTGGGGGCTGTCTGCCATGCATAGCATCCTTTTGGCACTGGCCCACCCAAGGGAATACACAGGAACCTCCAGGTTCCTTTGATTCCTTTCCTTGTCATTCCATGACAAGACCCAAACTGCACGTAGTCCTTAAGAATGGGCTGTTTCTAACTCCTGTTCACCCACCCCAAGGCTAGGTGTAAAAGTTGAGACTCCTATAAGGGAGACATCCTACTGGTGGCCTCACCCAGCACCCTGTTCTCTGCCCTCCCTTGGCTGATCTGGCTCAAAGGATTATATATGAATGCCCCCCAAATGGCAGAGGCAAACTGCATTTCCCTCCAGGCCTCCACAGGCAGACATTTCCACGCTGGCTGTGACAACCCCCACAAAACCTCTGCCCCTTCAGGCCAGGATCCTGATGGGTTGATATGTTTCTGTGCCAGCCACATGGGTTGGTTCCAGTTAAATATCCTTTGGAGGGGGTCCAGGGAGACTGCCACAATTCTTGGAGCTCCAGATTAAAGCAGCTCTGAGAATAACTTCACCCTAGAGGTGCTCCTGGACTCTCTGCCACTTTCCTGGAGGAGCCTTTGTGCCACTCTCTAGCAGCCCTGGTAGGGGAGGAGAGGGACTTCCAGCTGTCCCCTCTGCCTACCTACACAGACCCCTCCCTCAGACCCCTGGTTGTGGAAGTCCCAAAGTAATGTCTCCCCTTCTGGAGCAGTCTAGGTGTTGGAAGCATCTGGGAAAGAGCCCTGTTCAGGTGCCTTTGGAAAGAGTGCCCAGCCCTCTGGAACTCGGGGAGGCCTGGGCCCAGGGAGGCTCTGCTCCTGCCCAGTGGGAGGGGAAGGTAGGTAGGGTCACTGTGCGCTGGCCCCGGGGCAGTTATCTGAGACTACAGGGCAGCCTCCTGTTGCATCAGATGCTTCTCTGGGGACCTGAGCTGGGAGCCTCTGCCAGGTCTTTTGTTAGCTGCCCCATTGGTCTGGCCTCCTGGGGTGGCACCAGCAGCGCTGGGTCAGCCTCCCATCAGGCACATAAGTTTCCCGCCTGGGTGCTGGTGTCAAGCGCTGGGTAATCACACTGGTTTTGCTCTAACCTGATGCTCCCCACACGTGGCCCCTAGGCCTGGGTGTGGGGAGAGGGTCGGCTTGGTCTTGTCATTTCATGAGTGACTGAACACAGCCCTCACCACCTACCAGCAAAGAGTGTCTGGGTGCTGTGGGGGAATGGTGTTACCTCAGAAGACTACTGTTGGGACTTCCATGGTAGTTCAGCGGCTCCCAGCGTGGGGGGCCCGGGTTTGGTCTGTAATCAGGGAACTAGATCCCATGTGACACAACTAGAGTTTGCATACCGCAACTGAAAATCCCGCATGTCGCAATGAAGACCGGGTGCAGCCAAATAAATAAATATATTTTTAAAAAAAGACTATTGTTGATTTTCAGTAAAATGACTACCTTCCTTCAGGGTTGTTATGAGGATTAAATGCACGTAAAATGCTTAATAGGGGACCGGGACTCATTTGAAAGATGGTTGTCTTCTCTTGCAGTTTTTTCCTGCTGCTGCTGCTTCTTGTGCTTCTTATATGATATATATATATATATATATATATATATATATTCATTCATTCTCTACCCCCCACCTCCTCCTCCCCTCCATTTCTGACAAAGCTGCCACCATTTGGTAAGGAACTGTAACTTCTCTCCAAAACTGATAGGAAAGTGAAAGCGTTTTTTTTTTTAGATTGCCATCACACAACCAATGTCATCACCTTAGCTCAGCTGGAGAGGTAAAGTCGAGTGAAAGGGACAGCTTAATAAATGTGGGGATGTTCCTCCCATCTTACTCCATCCCACTCTGAAAAAGGTCACTTTCTCTTTAAATGCAAATTGCCTCTTGCGAGCTCAGCTTCCACCCTTTCCGTTCCCGAGTTGGAGAGTGCTGCGGAGGGCGGAGGGAACCCCCACGGAAGCATCACTCCAGACCCCAAACCTCCAGGTCAGTTACCCACTTCGGGAGTGGGTGCAGAGGCTCAATGACGCGGGTCTGATGCTCCATTTCGGATCCTGGCTCCCGAGATGAGCGATCCATTTGGCACACGGCTTTGGAGATTGTGGGAAATAGATCCCAGGTCGCCCCCAGCCATTCCTGGGGAGCCGAGGCTCCCGCTGCAGTTTTTCTATCGAGTCCTTAATTGAACCAAGCTGCTGCTGGGCCAGGTATTTGACGCGCTTCTGTCTCCCCTCCACCACCGCTGTCCCACACCAGTGCCAGCCAGCCTCGTACAATTTAAATGCTTATGCCCCCAGCGCCACCGCCATCCCAGAGTGCGGAGTCGGGCTTGGTGGTGGAAACTGGGAGTAAGCAGCTTGAGGAAACCCCGTAAAGGGTCTTCAGACCTCCATCTGGGGGGCGGCCTCCGCGGACCTGGGGCTGAAGGGGCGGGGCCGGGCGGGAGATCCAGCGGTGCCAGCCTCGGGCGCAGCCTTTGTTGGAGGCCCAGGCTGCCGGCTACGTGCCCGACCACGCGGCCCTCTCTGGCTGCAGCTGAAGCCAAGCGGGGACTTCCTGACTGGGGAGGGTGAAGCGGCTGGAAGTCTGTCCCAGGGAACTTCTGGGAGTCTCCTGGTGTTTGCCATTGGGGGCGGGGTGGAAGAGGAGGGATGCCAGTGCGGGGAAACCACACTGAGCCCTGCCAGCGTGCCACGGCTTCTGCCATTGCTGCCCATCCTCAGGGGGTTACTGCCTCACACCGGGGTCTTCCCAGGTGATCCCATCCACATCTCTGTCACCTTCCATGCTGAGGTTTGTCAGCGTCTGTCCAGGCAGTTGATAAATAGAACGGAGCCGAGTTAAGACACTCGTAATCCTCAGCCGGGCTCCTGCCAGCTCACATCCACCCTGTCTCCCCCTCCATTTCCTCTGCCAGCTCCGCCCCCGCAGCTACAGGGACAGGAAACCCCAGGAGCAGCAGCAGCAGGAAAATAGTGTCTGGTCCAGCCCTTTGAGGCAGGGCCTAGGTTTTCAGGCTAAAACTGGAAGGCAAGGAGGACCTGGGGTGGGCCACAGAAGTTCCTTCAAATACACATCTGTGACCCCAGCAGTAGGTGCTGGCACCTGGCCTTGCCCATACTGGGCAGCTGAGGGGAGAGTTAGGAAGGTCTGGGGGCCATCCTTTGCAGCTCTCAGGGATTGCTAGGTGGAGGGATGGCTTTGCCCCTCACTATCTCAGTGGGACTGCCTCCCTCCCAGGGCCTGAGGCCTAGCCAGCATCCAATGGAGGACAAGAAGAAGAAAAGGAGTCCCAAGCCCTGCCTGACCCAGCCAGCCCAGCCCCCAGGCACACTACGCAGGGTCCCAGTGCCCACCAGCCACAGCGGCTCCTTGGCCCTGGGACTCCCTCATCTGCCATCCCCCAAGCAGCGGGCCAAGTTCAAGAGGTGGGTACAGAAGGGAAGAGGGCAAGGAGGGAGGGACCCTAACTCTGGGCTGAGCCCTGTGGGCAGGAAGGTAAAGGGGGCCTTAGCCTACCGTTACTAAGCAGTAATCCATGCCTTCCCTGGGGCTCCTCCCACCCCCCACCGGCCCCTGAGAACTCAGACCCAGTTCCTACTCTCAAGTGTGTTGGGAAAAGGCCAGGTGGGTCACGGGGATCACACAGTATGATGATGCACCTCAGCGCAGGGAGTGAGCAAACTTCCAGGAAGTGAGTCAGAGAAGGCTGTTGGGCACACTGGAGAGGGAGAATGTTCTAAGCTGAGGGGCTTGCCTGGCAGAAGTATGGTAGGAAAATATTGCCTGGAAGGTTCCAGGAACCACAGGTGATTTGGTGGTCCTGGATTGTCATGGGGTAGGAAATGGTGAGGGGATACTTGGGTAAACAATTTGAATTCTCCGCTTAATTTTTTTAATGATTGAAAATTTGCCTCCTACCCTATAGTGTCTGTGTTTGTTTCCACTACCCATGCGTTCTTTCTCTGATTACTGTGTTTCCCTGTGCCTTTGGCACCACCTGCCTGAGAGGCATGTTGGGAGATGGCCAAGTCGGGGTAGCTGAAGCTCAGGGCTGGGGCAGGGATAGTAGGAGACGCAACTGGAGAGGCAGTGGGGCCAAGCTGGAAAGATCATTCAGTGTTATCCCGAGGGCAATGGAAAATTCAAAGAAAAGGTTTTTACAAACAAGAGGGGCAGAAAGATATTTTTGGAAGAGGTAAGATGGCTTTCATGGTAATAAGGGAGTAACTGTCCCCAAGTTCACTGAGGACCGGTGAGGACAAGTGATTCACCCAGGGTCACAGGAAGAATGAGTGAGGTGCTCAGACTGGAACCCAGGAGCCCCATTCCAGGCATGGTTCTGGATGTATCACTGGCAGAAAAAGACTTCTTTTGACTTCTCACCCTCACCCTTCTTCACCCACTCCCTTCCCTTTACCCATCCCGGTGCCCAGAACAGGGCGAAACATCCATTTACATTGGTGGGTGGATAGAAGGGTGAATTAGTGCATAGACAGATGGCACAGAAGACCTGGGGTTACCTGGCTGCCACTCACCCTGTGACCATGGCCATGCCCACCCACCCAGGGTCAGCAAGGAGAAATGCCGCCCAGTGCTGGCAGGAGGTGGGGGTGGCTCTGCAGGCACCCCCCTGCAGCACTCGTTCCTGACCGAGGTGACCGATGTCTATGAGATGGAAGGTGGGCTGCTGAACCTGCTCAATGATTTCCACTCAGGCCGGCTGCAGGCCTTCGGTGAGTCCTGGGGGCGGGGCTTAGAGGGCATGTAGGTGGGGCTGGAGGACTGGGTATCTGGGGCGTGGCTGGGACCAGGGTCCCAAGCTTGCTCCCAGAGCTGACAGGTGTTGTCCAGGGAAGGAATGCTCCTTTGAGCAGTTGGAACACGTGCGGGAGATGCAGGAGAAGCTGGCCCGGCTGCACTTCAGCCTGGACGTGTGTGGAGAGGAGGAGGAGGAGGAGGAGGAGGACGGGGTCACTGAGGGGCTACCTGAGGAGCAGAAGAAGACGATGGCTGACCGCAACCTGGACCAGCTGCTTAGCAATGTGGGTCAGGGCTGGGTGCTTCAGTTCCTGGGGGCACCAGAGGGTGTGTGGAGGGGTACATGCTTCTAAGACCATTCCTGGCCCCTGGGTGAGAAGCTGGGGGTGCATGGAGCCCAAAGCTCTGGGCCTCTCAACCCCCCACCAGAAGATGAACCCCAGAGCATCTGGAGTTTGACCAGGTGCCCCTCCTTACAAAAACTTCCCTTTCTCTCTCTGTTGACAGCTGGAAGATCTCAGTAATTCTATGTATCCTTTCAAGGGGACTTGACAGTGTGTAAGTGTGTGCACGCCTCCCAGAGATAAAATCAGCTTCGGCCTCCCCACCACCCTGCAGGAATCTTTACAGATAACCAACATCCTCACCCCTTTCAGTCCTACAGAATTAGCCACAAATTCCCCCTACCCAGGTAGAGGGTGCAGAAAGAATTCCCCAAATATTAGGAGAAAGAAAGGTGGTTGCAGGGAATATGTTTTACTTGCTTATCAAAATCTTTGCAAGGGGCTTCCCTGGTGGCGCAGTGGTTGAGGGTCCGCCTGCCGATGCAGGGGACACGGGTTCGTGCCCTGGTCCGGGAAGATCCCACATGCCGCGGAGCGGCTGGGCCCGTGAGCCATGGCTGCTGAGCCTGCGCGTCCGGAGCCTGTGCTCCGCCACGGGAGAGGCCACAAAAAAAAAAAAAAAAAAAAAAAATCTTAGCAAGTACTTTAGCCGACACCAATCCATGGCAAAGCTTGTCTGATGTCTTCCTATTCTTTCAGCACTGAACAATTCTTTTTACTGACTTAAATTATCTCCGCATCTAGTTCTATCAGAAGTAGTGCGGGTGCACGCTCCTGCATGATCTAAAGCAAAAGCGAAGGGGGTAAGGCACCTAGCAAGAAGGACAGGTGAGGACTGCAACCCCAGACCACGGAGCACTCCAGAGTCCCTGGCCCCCGCCCTTTTGCGCAGTTGGGGAAACTGAGCCTGTGCAGGTTGGGAAAATAGGGCTGCAAGGACCCGGGTCCAGAGCATCACAATCCTTGACAGGCACAGACAGAAGCTGCACCTGGCTGAGAACGCCGAGCCTGAGGAGCCGTCAGCTGTGTAGGTGTCGGACCCAGGCTCAGACCGCCCCTTCTCATTCCCTTCAAACTGTGACTTTTTACGGACTCGATTGGGTGTTCCGCGGCCCCCCCAGGTGCTATGGGGGAGGGGGGCATTGGATGGAATTAAACCATAAAGAAAGAAAGCGGCTCTGTGTCCTCCCTCCCCTACTCGCGCCTTTACTCGGCAGGGGCGCCCGGGCCCCAGCTCTCGCGGGAACGCCCCTTTGCAACAAACTTCTGGTTTGGGAGGTCCCGCTCGCGGGGCTGGACTCCCCTGTGCTGCTCTGGGAGTGGGAGTTGGGGACAGGTGCCAGTTGGCGCCCAGCCCCAGGGCAGGAGCCAAAAGGTTGCCATGGAGACGGCGGGGCGGGGCCTGAGCAGGCCAGCGCGGCGCAGACTGGTGACGCACTGCGCAGGCGCCGGGCGGGTCAGTTTGCGCCCGGATGGAGCGGGAACGGTTGGATCGGAAGGTGACCGCGCTGCAGGTGCGGGGCAGGCTGGGGTGCGCATGATTCCTCCCCCGCACGGGATCTCGGACTGGGACCTTTGGACAAGATGAGGCTGTCACGTCTAGTAACCTGCCCGCGTGCCCACCTCTGAACCTACCGACCCAGCCCCACCGGCCTGAAGAATGCGGGGACCCCACGGACCCTCACGCGCCCCCCACTCCCATTACACACTCCTACGGGATCAGGGAAATGAAGGGAAGGGCCTTTAATCGACGAGGTGGATCCAGCCCAGCACGCTCCCTCGAACCCCCAGAGCGCCAACACACAGCGTCACCTGTCCTCTCCCGGGGGCCGGGTCCTCTCTTGCAGACCTCTCCAGGAGAATCCCCCAAGATGCCCCCATTTTGCAGTGATAAGGGTTTTCTTTCCCCTCGTTCTCCACACCAGGCCTGCGTCCGGGGCTTCTTGGTCCGACGCCAGTTCCAGAGTCTTCGAGCTGAATATGAGGCTATTGTACGAGAGATCGAGGGTGATCTGGGCACGCTTCAGTGGACTGAGGGCTGGATTCCCAGGCCCCGATTTCTCCCAAAGGTACTACACACCCTAGAGGTAGAAGAGATGGGGAAGAAGGACCTGGGCAGGGGATTCCACCCTTCATGCTGACAAGCTATTCTCATTGGAAAAGGCAGCAGACTCAACCTCTTCACACCCCAGTCCTTAATCCTCATCAACTTGTATGCTAAATCATGGCACCCAGACACTTGGAGGGTTTAGCCTTGGGGCTCTCATACCTTTCTGACTGATTTCTCAGAAGGCAAAATCCCATCAGACCTGGAAAGCTGGAGAGAGGGTACCAAATCCAGAGCAGGAACTGTGGAGCTGCTTCCCATGTAAAGAGCCTGAGAAAGAGGCCATCTGGGAGGAGATGATACTGAAGAAGTCAGGAGAGAGCGCAGCAAACTCAGGCAGTCTTCCCTGCAGAGATGATAGCCCATGGCTTCAGGATGAGCAGAGCAGGAGGACCAGGAAACCGAGCCAAGAGGAGACCAGAGACATGTCAAAGATGGAGAACCCAGGTACCTCTCTGCTTAGATCAGGGCAAGCCCCTGACCCTCTCTGGGCGTCAGCTTTCCCATCTGAAAAGTGAAAGGCTTGTGCTAGATAAGCTGCATCCCTTTCCTTCTTCCCTCTGCTTGGTTGGGGGCAACTCATGGGTGGGCAGGGGGAGGGTGCCAGGGTCTAATGCTAGGCCAGTGCCCACTGTCTGCCCCCTCAAGGCTTTCTCCCTTCATTCTTCCCTCCTTCACAGAAGCTGCAGGTCCAGGACTGCCCCACAGCCAGACTGAGCTCCAGGAGCTCCAGTACCACCGCAGCCACTTGGCTATGGAGCTGCTGTGGCTGCAACAGGCCATCAATAGCCGTAAGGAGGTAGGCACTAATTTGGAGCCTTCTCTGCACATTTAGGGCCAAGGGTGGGGGTTAGGGAAAAGCCTCCTGCCATGCCCAAGCAGGCCTGCCTGGTACAGTGTTCTCTTCTCCAACAGTACCTAATTCTCAAACAAACACTGAGATCCCCAGAGGCGAACCAGGCAAGAGACGAGCCCAGCTTGTGCACAGACCATGGGGGACAGGGCTGTGAGAAAGCTGGGTCACGACCAGGCCCACCACTGGAAGACCAGTCCTACAGAACTACTAGAGAGCCAGACCACACGGATGACTCCTGCTGGAGACTCAGATCATAACCCCATAAAACCCCAGAAATACTGGCCACTACAGACAAAACCACTGCTGGGGCTAAGTACAGGGACCTATGCTACAGACAGACAGGACCACAGCTGCCCACACCATGGGATAATCAGGCCATAGGGAAAAGGCTCACCAAAGAGCCAGAGTGTGGAGAACAGACCTATGGAGGGACCTGCCTGCAGCTGACAAAACTTCTAGAGGATGAGACCCACAAAGGCCTCAAATCTAGGGGCTGCTGTTCTGGAAAGGCCAGGACACAGCTGCCCACACTCTGTGAGGACCCAGACGTTGAAGACAACTCTCCCAGAGGGCCAGGCCAAAAAGAGCGTGATTGCCAAAGAGCTGGGCCACGAGAGGTGGGCCTCTCAGAGGACCGTGTCATCTGTGATGGGACTTTGGCAGAGCGTGGTGGCCTGCATCTCTGGAAGGCTAAACCACCCCGAGGGCCGGACTCCTAGTGATAAAAGCTCCACAGATAGAACCTCCAATGAATCTAGCCATGAAGGATGGAAAAACCAGAGGATCAAGGCCACCTGAGAAACTGTCTTCCACAGGGTCAGACCACACAGGAGAGGATCACTGGAGGGGGCGACTGTGGAAAACAGGACCACCAGGCTAGACCCTGGGGAACCAGGGAAGACCAGGTTCCAAAGGGGGATTCTATGAAAGGGCAATGAGGGAGACAAGACCTCATTGTAGCTCCCTGGTACCAGCTCTACCTCCTGCCCCTGCCCGTGGGTACTAGTGGCTAATGAGGCCAAGAGAAGCTGGAGCACAGAGCTGGCATCAGTAGAGATAGGAGGATACTTTCATCCTCTGCCTGTGGCTCAACCCAAATTTTGGGATAGGGAGCCACCTGGGGTGAGCAAAGTTGGGGGGCTGATGGAGAATAAAGGTGTTCCTTAGATTCTGAGCCTGGTTGTATTTATCTTCTGCCTCTGGTCAGGACAGACTCTGGGCCCTCCTGTTCACTTCCTGCTGACATGGGGCATCTTCCCCAGAGCTGGCTAGGAGCCACAGCCCAGGAGCAGACTAGCCATCCTTGGGGAACAGCCCCCAAAGCTGATCTTCCTTTAAGCTCAGCCCTTGGGCTGCAGAGTGGCAGGGAGGCTGAGAGTCCCTCGCTCCACCCAGTACTGGAACATCTGTGTTTCAGTGTCATCTCTGCCACTGCCTCTCTCACTGAGTCCCAGGCTCTTTCTTCATATGTAGTGATCAGACCCACCGTACTCTTGTGAGGCCCCACCAAGAGCAGGTTGGATGAGACCTTGAATGCAGACAGATGCTCCTATGGAGGCTCTCCCTGCCTTTCTGGGTGAGAGGGCAGGACTCCACCTCTGATTGGCACTGCTCCCAGCCCTGCCTTAGTTGCCTGGCAACAGCTCTGCGTCTCTAGCCGGGGATACGCTATGGCAGGTGGCAGTCCAGCAGCCAAGAGGGTAGTGGTGTCCCGGAATGGGGACCCCTTCTCCCCAGGCCACCAGCTGGTGGTGACTCAACACTGCTTCCCCACCCTGGAGACCTTCCTCTGTGATGTGACATCGGCTGTGCAGGCCCCACTGGCCGTGCGTGCTCTCTACACGCCTTGTCATGGCCACCCTGTCACTGACCTGGCAGACCTGCAGAACAGAGGGCAGTATGTGGCTGCTGGCTTTGAACGATTCCGCAAGTTCCCGTGAGTGGGCTGGGGCTGGTCAAAGAGCCTGGGGAGAGAGGTAATAGCGATAGCAACAGCATGTGTTCAGTACTTCCTGTGTATCTCACGGAATACAGCAATCCTATGAAGGGGGTGGTCTTATCCCCATTCTTTGGAAGGGGAAATCAAGATAGTGAAATAACCTACCTAAGAGTACATAAATAACACGTGGAGCCACAGTTCCAGTCAAAGTCTTACACTGATGTTCATGCCCATCCAGCCAGGACCAACCAGTGGGAAGAAGAACATTCTGCTGGTTGAGCCCCTTTTTCCAAAGGCTGTTCCTGATTGGGTCCTTACCACCACCATGCCCATCACCACCACCACTAAATACTCTAAATCCATCCATCACTTCCTCCCTGCTGTGCTTAGGCATCCTGTGCTCTCCATTAGGCTGGGATTGTCCTTTACAGGGTGGGGCTATGCTTTCCAAGATGGGAGAATAAATAATTTGAGTGTCTGAGCTTCCAGCTCAGATCTGGCTTCCAGGTCCTCCTCTGCTCTCAGCTGAGGTTGCTGAGAGTTAAGGAGCCAGGAGTTGGGAGCCAGACAGACTTAGAGTCTGGGCTCTGTCACTTCCATGTTGCTTAGGTGAGTCACTTAACTTGCCCTCGTTCTCATACAAAATGAGATGAAACCGCACACATCATGAATGAGAAAATTTCTGAGATACAGGAGGATGTCGACCTTTAATCTTGTGGTTTGGGTCTGAGACCCCAGACTGGATGTCCAGCCTGATACATAACCTGAGGCAGGTTCAAGTATCAGCATCTGTTTCCAGACCGAGATAACTGAGACTATTCCAGTGGGAAGGAAGACTTGGTGAACTGGGCCCCAGCCCCACGCTCTGGCAGCTGCCGGGCTGTTGAGGACCCAGGCTCCCCAAGATGACCAGTGACCTATCTGTCCTTTCAGCTCTTTATACCCTAGAGGGGAGAATCCAGGTGGGAAGAGCAGCAGACTACCTGTAAGTCCTGGGGCCGACCAGCCCCCAGCCCTCTGTTCTCCCATCCCCCTGGGGGCTGCCCCCACTTTGGTCTGGGAAGTCAGGAGCCCTGGAGCTCTGGAGCCTTCTCGGGTGCAGGATTTCAAGACACTGTTCCTTGTGCCATTCCCAAACTTTTACTTTACTTTAGCTCCAGGCTATGGTCCTCAGAGGAAAGAGGAAGCCATAAAACAGAGGGATGGGAGGGGGTTAAGAATGTGACCTAGGGGAGGTAGAAGTACCCTTTGGTGAAAGGCGTGACCAGTCCCATCCCTCCTTGCCCCCTCTTCTGCCCCAGTCTGGTTTCTTTCCCTCACCCTACCCACCTTGGACTGACCTTTCCCTGACAAAAGGCCTCAACTCGCTCCTGATCTGGGGGCCTGACGGGTTTCAGGGCCCTCCTGTGATTCAGCAGCCATGTGATGGGGCCCTTGGACAGCGGCTACCTGCAGGTTCCCCCTGCTGTATCCAGTGAGTGCTCGTGTTGGGGAATAGGGGCAGAGATTTTTGTTTCAGGGAGACCAAGGGAAAGTGGGTGGATTTGTTCCAGGAGCCCCTGGCGACTGGGATATAAAAAGTCCAACATGCTTAATGGGTGAAAAACAACGCACTGGTTCTTGGACCATCTTCTGGCCGCTGTGCCATCCTTCTTCCTCTCACACGTAGGTAGTTCTGGGGACCCTTCCCCTTACCAGGCTGCTCTTTGTCCCAGTGTGTTCAGGAATGGGGACCTGTTAAGCCCCCCATTTAGCCTGAAGCTGTCCCAGGCTGCCAGCACGGACTGGGAAGCAGTGTTGAAACTCCTGACTGAGAAGGTGAAATTACAGAGCGGGGCTGTGCGCAAGTGAGTTTGGGGACTGTGGAGACCTGAATGTCCCCAAAGGGAGCCTCCCTACTGCTTTTCGCTGCCCTTGAGGATGAAAAGGCAAAAGGAAAGCATGTTTCCCCAAATGAGACTTCTTTCTGTGCCTCAGGGAGAGGCCCCTCCAGCCCAGCCCTCGGAGCCAGGGCAGAGCCTGGGTGACTGGCCCTGGTGCCCAGAGGGCCAGCAGCCAAAGGGCACCTTGAAATAGCTGTACCCACCCCCTTGTAGTCTGCTGCATATGAAGATACATCTTGTTCACCGGCCCTTATGTACTCACCTCTCTCTCCCAGACTCTGCACCCTGGATGGGCTCCCACTGTCAGCAAGGGAGGCTCTGGTGAGTGGCCATTACTATGTGGCTGTCGGAGAGGATGGTTCAAGGCCCTCCCCTATCTGGTGCCTCGTCCCTCACTGCCCAGGGGCTGCTGGTATGTATGTGTGAGGTGGAAGGGTAGCTGGTTAGAGCAGAGGAAGCCACCCTGACTCCATGTCCTGCTCTGCCTCCTACAAGCCTTCTCTTTTTTCACTGCAGGCAACCCCCAGACCCAAAGTCCAGGCTCCACAGCAGGGGGTAGGTGAGGCAGGGGGTCATGGGGGGTGGGAAGGAAAAGGAGTGACTAGCCGAATCCTCTTCCAGCTCAGCCTCTGACCTTATCTCACTGCATCCTCTCAATAATCTTGTGAAACAGAGATTATTATTCCCGTTTTCCAGAGGAGAAGCTGAAGTTCAGAGGAGTGAAGTGATTCGTTCAGGTTAACACAGTTATTGACAGGGGCCAGACCAGAAACTGGTCTGAAGCCAGCTTATCTGGGCTCTGTGAAGACCTTCAGGACTCTGAGTTGCTGGACCTAATGCCAGGTTGGATGCTTGGAGACGGAATCAGCATATCTGGCACAACAGGGTCCAAAGATGCTTATCAACTCCCCATCTTATCCCAAGCCTGAGCCCTCCCAAGAGATGAGCCAGTGAGCATTGAGTGGGGGGTAGGGGGATGCGGCCTGGTTTCACTGGGCATCTAGAATACCAGGCACCATCTGCCGTGTCCCTGGATAAGGCAGCCTGATGGAAGAGGGAGCAGGGAGGGAGGAGGCAGGCTATGAAGATGGATGGCATCTCCTCTTCCAAGCTCCCACCAGGAGCATTCAAACCTTGACTGGGAGTGGAGAAGGTAAGGCCAGCCTGCACCCACGGCTCAAGCCCAGTGTTCCCTCCGCAGGCCGATGGCCACAGAGCACAGGCAACCCAGTCCTCTCCAAAGGAAGCCAGGCAAATTGAGCCATCTGCTTTTTATGCCAGCCCCCAGCAAGCTTTTCAGCATGCTCTCCACTCTCTTGAGGGGACCCAAGAATCCAAGGCCTTCTCTGCCAGCCTCTAACAGTGACGTAGGATTGTCCCTGCTATGCTGAGGGAGTTCCATGGGGGCAGAATGCCCAGGTTCAGAGCTGGTCTGGACTTCAGGACGACTGTCTCCTACTCCCCCGTGTGCACGGCCAGTCCCTTGCCTCTTCACAGGGACCTGGTTTATGAAAAGAAGCACATGGAAACTCAAGGCCATGACATTTCGGGGGTGGGATTTGGAAGGGGTGGGGGTAGGGCCAAAGGCCTGCCTCTGAGCTAACCTGCCATCCTCTGAGGTCCTGGGCGAGGGGGAGGAGAGGGGAGGGGAGGGGAGGGGAGGGGAGGGGAGGGGCTGGTAGAGAGGGTCAAGGGAAAGAATGTGAGGGCTCCTCAGCCTAGGCATCGGCCTGTAACTTCCCACATCAGAAGTCAAGGGAGTGTATGGGGCTCCCCATGCAAGGATGGAGACAGCACGGGCCCAGGGAGTAGCACATGATGAAGCCACCTGGACAGAGGCACCCCTGGATCAGGTGGGCTGGGGCCAGGGCCGGAAGCCGTATGTTGGGACAGGAGTTCTGAGCTGGAAACAGGCAGCTCTAGGTCCCGGAAACGATTCTTCTCCCTTGTGATTGTGAGCAAATCTCCTAACCTCTCAGAGCCCGACTTCCTACCTTGTTGAATGAGAGGGCAGATGCTAATTTCTGGTCTCTTCCTTTCTTGGGGTGGGCAAACCCCAGGCTGAGGACTGGAGGCTGGATGTGGGGTGCTAATGGCTCCGTTCTGTGTGGCCTTCTGCCTCCTCCAGAGGGCAGCACAGGTAGTGGAAGAGGCCCTGATCCTGGAAAGCCGGCCAGAGCTGGGGCAGCTCTCTCGGCCTTGGCCCCTGCTCTGCCATCTTGAGAGCCAGCAGCTGCAGCCAGGAACTGGGGACCGCCACTCTGCGGCCACCATTTATCCTCAGCCTCCAGCGGCCGGTTCTCAAGGAAGCAGGGCCTCCCCTAGGCTCACAGGGTGCGCTGCAGCCCCTCTTCTGCCCCTAAACCCACAGCCCAGCCTCCTTTCCGCTCCGAGCAGAGCAGCCCAGCCCAGCCACAGAGGCCATTTCCTTATGAGGTTCTCTGGCCAGAGAGATGAGTAGCCAACGGAGCTTCAGGGAAAGAACACAAACTGGGGAGCGGGTCGTCCCAGTAAAAGAATACTTACCAACCTCCATCTGTCTACTACACATTTATTACAGACTTCCGCTCACCTGGCATTGCTCCATACGTTGGGGTCTGGCAGTGCGGGGGCCCATAGATGTCGATCGGTTTGAGAGGGGCCGGCACCCACCTCACAGGAGGGACAGGCAGGGCTAACAGCAAACTCCTCTCCCCAACGTCTGCTGTTCTTATGCACCTTCCCCTCAGTTCCCTCCTCAGCCAGCCAAGGCTGAGCCCTGGAGCCCTCCTGTTTGCATTTCTGGCTCAAAGACTGTAGCTGGCTCTCTTCTTGCGGCTGGAGTTCTGCGGTCCACCAACCAGCTGCTGGGATAGTCTGGGTCAGGCACAGGAACAATGGCAGGCCTGGGGCCTGGGGCCTGACATGACAGCAGAAAGTGTGCTGCTGGGACAGAAAGGTTGCTGAGGGTGAGGGTGCGTGTGAAGTCTCTTGTGCTAAATCCGAGCAGCAGGTGAACAGCACGTGGAAGTTACAAAACCCTTTCACTTTTGTTCTCTTATTATGATCCATGAGGTAGCTATTATCCCAAGAGATGAGGAAGCTGAGGCTGGGGAGTGGAAGGGGGTGGGAGGGCTAAGTCCGCATGCTCACTGCCTCTACCTCATGGCCCAGGGGCTTCCTGGAGACAGCAGAGCCGGAGGGTGGCCTTGGTCCACTCAAGGCGTAGATGGTTGCCCCTGGGTCTTGGTCACTGAGCTTGTGATGCAGAGTGTAATTCCTGCCACGGTGAGCACCATGCCTGCGAATGCTCCTGGGATCATGGGGAGAAATTGAGAGGCTCTGAGATCAGCCATGTCAGTAGGAGCTGGTGCAGGGCTGAGGGAAGGGCTCAGACAGGGTCTGTCCCCAGACTACCCAGGGGAAGGAAACTCTGATGGCCACAAGGAAGCAGTGGAGCTGCAGAAGAAAGGGGCAGGATCGCGGAAGATCCTCTCCTCACCGGGCCAAGGGAGATGGCTCTGGAAAAAACTAATCCAGGGGTGTCAAAGCCCACGTAGTGGCTCCCCAAACTTGCAGTGGCCAGACTTACGTTTTCCACCAATATCTTCTCCAAGGACCTTCCCAACAATCAGTGTAAAGATGATGGCCAGAGAGTTACTGATGGGCACAGCTAGGGTCAGATCTGAGTGATCAGAATGAAAAGAATTTCTGAGATGCAAAAAAAAAAAATGTCTTTCTAGGCACAAAACACTTTCATTACATCATCAAGACAGTCTTTTAAAAAGGGTATCTCATGACCCCATTTTCCAGATGAAGTCACAGCAAAGCTCAGGATTCAAACTCAGGTCTCCTGACTCTAAATTCAGTGCTCCCGCAGGATTCCAGCATGAAGACCTGAACTATAAGGTCTGGGACCACCTTGGTTTGCTGGTAAGGATGAGATCTTTGCACTCAAAGAGAACTTCTGAGATCTCAAGGACATCTGGACAGACAAGTACCCAAAACCCATAGGATGCAGTAGCTATTAACACCAAACACATTTATCAAGTATACATTATGTGCCGGGTGCTTTGTGCACACATCTCATTAATCTTCACAAAAACACTGCAGGAAGAGCATTAGCATCATTCTGCATAGATAAAAGAATCAAAGGCTCAAAGACATCACATAAATTGAGGCAAATTGAGGATTTAAACCAAGGTCTGCCTGACTCCAAAGCCTGTGCCCTTATTGAATCTATTTAGATGGATAAGGACAAGCCAAAACTGCAGGTGAAGCACATTTTGTTTCTGTTTCAGCTCAGACTTGGGCCTTACGGAATTACAGAAGAGAAAAAAAGTCAGCGGTAGGAAGCCAGGTACAGGACAGGCCCCACAAGGCTGGGCCTTAAGTAGAGGTCACCGCAGTCCAGGGTCTGTTCCTTAGTTTTGAAGCCCCGAGGGACTGTCTTGCAAGAAACAAACTTCAAAAAGACTAATGGAGTTAAGAACACTGTTAACTTAAAATTTATTACACTTAAATTTTGTACACCTAAAGCTTTTTAAGAAGATAGATTTTACATTAAGTGCTCTTAAACACATACAAAAAACCAAAACGAAATCAGAAGCTGAGTTACTAGTTTACAAGACTCATAACTGCCAGGCAGACTGTGCATGTTGGCTTCTCAGCACACTCTTTCCCAGCCCTCCCGGGCCTCACCTGCTTCAGGTAGCGGAGGAGAGAACCGTGCAGCTCCTCAGCCCCTGCGAGGCCCCACCGAGGCTGGCATTAGCCATCCAAGAAACTGACACAACAGCTACCTACTCAGAGCTCCTTCCTTAAGCTTTCACACTTTACATCGAGTGCAGTGGCTGCTGAAGTCTGGTTTGCAACAGGAGATTGGGGAGGGAAGCAGCACGGTACAAGGGAAGAGCAAGGGCACTGGAGTGAGGCTGACCCAGGTTTCCCTATGTCACCTTGGTTAGGTCATTCAAACACTCTGAGCCTGTGCCCTACATGACAAACAGTGATAGCAGGATAACAACATCACCTTACAACAGGGTTGTAAGATGAAATATGATAACATGTGTATATCCTTGGCTGAATGTATCCTTAATAAACAGAGACCACTGTTCTGATTATTAGAATGGGTGGGCGTTAAAGGATACAGAGTAGGGGGTGAGATAATAGGATCCTAAAATTCCAATTTGCTCAAAACTTGGTAAATGGCTAACTGCAGTCAGCTGACCAGAGGGCTTAGCATTCTGGGCAGCAGGGAGTGCCAGAGGCTTTCAAACTTTCCTTTAAATGAAGTCTTATGAGAAGCCCAAAATATAAGACAGATGAAAGCGGAGTGACTCTAGTTGAAGCTGACGTGGCAGGTCTGGAGGTCGGCCTATCCACTCACCCTCCTATGGCCTCTGAGGGGTTTCCCAGGGCTACCTGGGACCCAAACTTCTGTCAAGTCTCTGGGGGGCCTAGGTGAGACTCCAGGAGAGGTGAAATTCTCATAGCAAAGTTCAAGAGCATAAACTTTAGTAACATGTGGCTTCAAGTCCTTCTGCACGGACATGCAGTGGGACTTAAAGAGAGATGTAATAAGTTGCCCAAAGTTCTGTAACTTCATCTCCTAGGTGGAGACAATCATGCCTACTTCATAGGGGTGAGATGAGAATTTTTTAAATGTGAAAACTAGAACAGTATCTGACGCAGTAGAGGGCAGTCAACAACAGTGGGGGAAAGGCAATTTATGTTTATTGAGCTCCTCCTGGTACAGTGTGCACCAGGTACTCTGCCAAATGCTTTTCATACACTGAATTTAATGCTCTCAGTGTTATGAAGCCAGTTGTAAAAAATCAAGGTTCAAATAAGGGACTTGCTCAAGGTTAGGCAGGTAGCAAGCAGTGGAAGCAAGAGTGTCAAAGCCAGCCCTTGGCACAGCAAAATGAACCTTCTCTCTTCCTCTGCCACTGCATGAGACTGCCAGGCTTCAAACAACTCTCGTGCCTGGCAGCATACTCATAACCAGCCCACCGTGCCCTACTGCCCAGAGAAGAGGGTGCAACTCGGGAACCAGAGACAGGGGGCTCTCCCTCACTCATGGCAACAAGGTGTTTTAGACACCCTCCCCACAGTGACTCTCCGGGTGGCCTCCACCACTAAGCATAGTAGTTCTAACCCAGAGACCTACCTGTTGATGCCAAGGTGAGGTAGTAGAGAAGGGAGCCACACTGGTTGAGGGAAAAGGGCAGCAGGTACTGGAAACAGAAGAAAACTGCAGTCAGCGTGATTGCTTAACTGAGCAGTGCTGCCTTCTTTGAGCTTTGAGATATGCCTTTCCTCGGAGGGAGGGGTAGCTATAAGGGCCTAGGGCCTAAGCCCTCTTTAAAGAACCCTTCCAGGGCAGAGGGAACGTCACTGAGTGAATTCCATGCCTTTGCCCTGAATGCCCTCCCCCTCAGCCCTGCTGGTTCCTATCCTCCCCATTCTGCAAGTCCCTGAATGCCAGTGTTACTCTCTCCAAGAAGCCCTCCCCTGGTCCCCTAGCTCCAGCCTCCCTCCTGTGAACTCACGCAGCACTTATCTGTACCTCTCTCAAAGCCCTTAGCCCTAAGAGACGGTTGTGTCTATGTCTTGTCTTTCCCACTAGCCTAGACTGGCAGCGTTGGGGTCAGAGGTAGTTCTCCATATCCTGCCTCCCCAGGGCCAATTTGAGCCCTAAGCCCTCCCTCCGGAAAGGTCTGCTGGAGGGATCACCATAATAAAATATTAATAATAGCAGCTCAAAACATCATAGATTTGGGCCCTAATTATGTACTAGGCCCAATGCTAAGTGCTTTATGTGCCTCACCTCACTTAATACTCACAACTGCCCCATGAGATGGTTACATTATTCCCATTTTACAGATGAGGAAACTGAGGCTCAAGGCAGACAAGGAATTCATCCAAGAGCTTCTAGCGAGTAAGTGGTGGAATGCAGATTCTGACCCTGACCTGTTTGACTCCAGAGACCAAATTCTTAGCGGCTACGTCCGAGAAAGGGGTCATTCACCGACGCACCTCAGTATTCAAGAAGAGGGTCTTCGTCTCCTGCAGTAACTGCCGGGCCCAGGTCCGCTCATGAACCTGCTGCAGGTGCGAGGAGGCCCGCTTCAGCAGCGGCTGTGTGCCACCCCACAGAGCGGCCACCAGCACCAGAGCCAGCACCTGCCCTGGATGGAGATGCGAGTGACACTCCCTCCCCCGCCGCACCGCCCCACCGCACGGCCCCAGCCCTCCTCCGGCCTCCCATCCCCAGCCCGCCGCCCCTACAGCCCTTCTTTGCTCTCCAACGCCCCGGGTGTGATTGGCGGGTAGGACAGACCCCGGGAGGCCGGGGAGGTGGATCCAGGAGCCCAGGTTCGGGATTGCAGCAGTGGTCGGGGTTAGGTGATGAAGGTGGAGTAGAAATGAATTCCGGGTGGGAGTCTGGAAGCCTGGGGAGGGGCGGGGCCCGCCTACCCAGGGTCGCCGCCATGGCAACGCCTCTCCTCTCCACTTCCGGGAACGAAGGGGCGGAGACCCGTAATCCGGAAGTGGTGCCAAAGCCTCTTCCGGTTCTGCTCGCGTTGCGTTTTTCCTCGCGTCACCGCCGGCATGGTGAGTTCCCCTGAATTAGAGTTGTTGCCCTGGGGGTCCGGGCCGGGGCCGATTTTGGGCGCTGACACTCCCGTCCTGTCCCCACAGAAGCCGATCCTGCTGCAGGGCCATGAGCGGTCCATTACGCAGATTAAGTACAACCGCGAGGGAGACCTCCTCTTCACGGTGGCCAAGGACCCGGTGAGCGTCGGCCGGAGGGCGAGCCGCCGGGACAGTGCGGAGGGGGCCCGGGAGGGGGCGAGTTCATTCTGCCGGGGCGAAGGGTGGACAGGGTGCCGCGAGAGAGAACCCAAAGAGCGCCCCATTCTGAGAAGTCGGGAGAGACTATCCCGGGATTAGGAGGGCGAGAACATTAAACTTGGAGAGGTGGGAAAGGACTCAGTTGTTGGTAGAAGGAAGGACTAGCCGGGGAGAAGAAAAGCAAGGGACCTTGTGGAAGGGGAAGGGGGACGAGGGTCAGCTTGCTCAGGGAGCGGAGAGGAGACCATTCTGGGGAAGAACAAAACTATTCTACAAGGATAGGGGAGCAGACCACCTGAAGAAAGGGAAAGTTGATCCTTGGGTGGCGAGGGACACAGAGGCCTTAATGAAGATGTCCCTGGTATCATTTCAGTCAGCCCTTTCCTGCCGCTCACTGACTGCAGACAGCCCCTCACAGCACTGCCTTTTGAGGCACCTCCATATGGAGGACGTTAACTCGAGTGCCTAAAAGTGAGGGCTCTGAAACCAAACAGACCTGATTTGAATCCTGAGTGCTGCGTTCACTAGCAGTGTGACTTTGAGCATGTCGTTTAACCTTTATAAACTTAAAAGTGTCCCTTCTTACAAAATATGGGTAGTAATAGTGCTTCTTTCTGGGATTGTCTTTAAGATTAATGAGATTATTCAAGTAAGGAGCTTAGTGTGTGTGAATGCCTAATTAATGTTAGTCACCTATATTTTAAATTCCTTAGACAGTATTTTATTGGAGCTACCCTTTGAAGAAGGCGTTACTGTCCTGACCATTTTACAGATGGGAAAACTGAAGTTCAGAGGGGAGAAGCACTAATTTTGAGATAATACAGTGGGATAGTAGCAGAGCAGGGATGGGAACCCAAGCTTCCCTACTACCAACTGCTCCCATTTGGACAGAACACCAAAGCTACTGTTTTGCTAGGCTCGCACCTGACTTGACCTTTTATTTTTCTGAGGGTTTAGGAGTCTGGGAAAGGGCCGGTATAGTGGCAAATGGAGACTTTTTGCAAGCCTCCTGACTCCCTTGCTGCTTACCTGTGGGAAGGAGGAGAATCCAGGAGTTGGTCTTTTTACCAGCAACCTGCTGTTTCCCAAGAGATGAGCAGGAGAGGGCAGAATCTGGCCTAGGTAGAGGCTGCTGGGGGCTCCTGGGGCAAAATAGGAGGCCGTTGCTCTGCCTGAGATGCCTATCACCCTGTCATATTGTCATTGACACCTCCAGATTGTCAATGTATGGTACTCTGTGAATGGTGAGAGGCTGGGCACCTATATGGGCCATACCGGAGCTGTGTGGTGTGTGGACGCTGACTGTATCCTTGTCTTTGCTCTGAGTCTGTGCTCCCAGGGTCTGCCAGCAATGGAGAGGCTGCTGACTTGGAGTTGGGAGTCTGGGTTGCTCTTGTGGGTCTAGAGAATGATGCTACCTGCCTCCTTGGTCTGTTCATTGGTTGGGGGAGCATTTAGGACATGTTCCAGTTCTGGATGAGGAGGTTAGGATGAGAGAAGAAGGAAGGCTCTCTGGTGCTGAACAGGGAGGTGATTCAGTTGGCCTTCCAGGAGGACAAGGGCTCGGGTGAACTCTGTCATGCTTCTTAACACCCTCTTCAGGGGACACCAAGCATGTCCTCACCGGCTCAGCTGACAACAGCTGTCGTCTCTGGGACTGTGAAACAGGTAAGCCTGAATCCTTCACTTTTACAGCAAACAGTGAGGACCTACAGGTTCTGGGTAAATAGAGATAAATCCAGAGATGGTTCTTAGTCTAGGGAAAAAGAGACAGACAAGAAAATAAAGAAGACAGAGGAGAAAAGAGGCATACAGTGAGATATAAGCCATGTTAGAGGAAGCAAAGAGCACTGTGGAAGGCCGGAGGTGGGCAACTGAATGCCTGGAATGGGGGTGGGAACAGCCTGGGAAGGTTTCCCAAAGTAAATATCATATGAGCTGGGGCTTGAAGGATGAGAAAGAGGTCATCGCTCTGGAACATGCAGGAATGAAAGCAGGGCAAGTATCATATCCAAGCCATCTGATCTGGCGGGAGTTCCTGCTTCTTGGGGGATGAAATAGACAGCAGTGGGGAAGCTGAGGCAGGCTAGGGCCAGAACAGGCCTTGAATGCAAACTCAGGAGCGTGGCTTTGTTCTGTAGGATTTGGCATGCCATGGAGGTCCCTGAGCAGGGAAGAGCGTGTTTAGCTTTAGCAAGCCCAGATAGCAATGGGGAGCATTGGAGGAACAGACAGAAGACAGGGGAGCCTATTAAGCTGCTCCATTTAGTAAATGTTTACTGGTAATCCAGATCTCCCAGGTCTTTGCTGGGCACTGGGGACACACAGAGAAATTAGAGCAGGACTTTGCTGTGGAAGAGTGCATTCTGAGGCAGAGACAGATAGAATGCAGTCCACTGTGAGTGCCACAGTGGCAGGTGTCTGAGGAGGGACTGTGGGGAGAAGTTAAAAGACTTGAGCCAAAGCACAGCAGTGAGGAAAAAAGTGGGGGAGGGCACTAGAGTCAGTAGTGCAGGAGAAAAAGTGCAACGTGACGATAGGCAAGTGTATTTTTTTGTTTGTTTTGCTTTTAAAAAATATTTATTTATTTGGTTGCACCAGCTCCTTAGTTGCAGGACGTGGGCTCCTTAGTTGTGGCATACGAACTCTTAGTTGCAGCATGCATGTGGGATCTAGTTCCCTGACCAGGGATAGAACCCTGGATCCCTGCATTGGGAGTGCGGAGTCTTATCCACTGGGCCACGAGGGAAATCCCAATAGGCAAGTGTAGAGAGAGTCCTCCCTGCAGTGGGCAAGGGCTAGCCCACACTCTGCCTGTCTCCAGGGAAGCAGCTGGCCCTAGTCAAGACCAATTCAGCAGTCCGGACCTGTGGCTTTGACTTCGGGGGCAACATCATCATGTTCTCCACGGACAAGCAGATGGGCTACCAGTGCTTCGTGAGCTTCTTCGACCTGCGGGATCCGAGCCAGATTGGTGAGCCGGTGCTGGGGTTCAGGACTAGAGTTGAGGTGAAGGGCTCGACTCCAGAGCCCAGGGCCTGACATCTGCTGCCCCACACAGACAACAACGAGCCCTACATGAAGATCCCGTGCAACGACTCCAAGATCACCAGTGCTGTTTGGGGACCCCTTGGCGAGTGCATCATTGCAGGCCATGAGGGCGGAGAGCTCAACCAGTATAGCGCCAAGGTAAGGGGGTGCGTGAGGCCTAAGCCCATCAGAATGATTCTCTATGAGAGGCAGGATAAGCCCAGTGGTTAAGAGGGCTGGATTCACATACAAATTTCACCCCTTTCTCATTATGTGATCTTGGGCGTATTACATAACTTCACGGAGCCTATTTATCTGTAAGATGTTTCAAGGATCAGATGACATCAGGTGTTTGAAAAACTTGTCATAGAGTACTCAGGATATGTTACTAATGATCACAGTTAAGCATTCTCCTGCCACTACTGAGTGCCAGGCCCCATGCTAGCCTCTGAGGACAAAGAAGTGAATCAGACATGGGCCCTGCCCCGGGGGAGACAAACTGGCAAACAGCTAGCACGTGGCTCAGATTGTGAGTTTTGCCACCACAGAGGTCTCAGCCAAGTAGAGAAAGTGCCCTCTATCACAGAGGAGGTGGCATGTACATTAATCTGTGAAGAATAAATGGAGCTTCAAGCCGGAAGAGAGGAACCAGGACTAGATAGTTTGCGGGTCAGGAGACAAAGGAGTTGTAATTTTCCCTTAGGCAGGAGGTAATCTTCAAATGGTTATGGATGATCAGGTTTTCTCTTTAGAAAACTCTCGCAGGCTAGTTTGGAGAATGGACATAAACTCTAGACAGTAGTCATGGGGATGTGCACTACCTGACAGTCAGGAGACGTTCAGAGGTGACTAATGAGATGGACCCACAAGAGCAAAGGGTAAAGTCCAGGCTGTCTCAGATTTCAGTTGTGGGTGCCTGGGTTTCTGAAGAATACTGGACTATAATACCATAAAGGTTAGTCAGTCACTCAACAAGCACTGACTGTGGCCCACTAAAGTACCAGGCCTACCTGCAGGAAGGGAATGGGAACCAAGGGCAAAGACATAAATAACGCTTGATGATAGCAAACAGTGAGCTGATCTGTGCCCCCAGGTAGGCCTGACTGCAAAGCTGGTACTTGTTCCCTGAAATGTAAGAGCCAGATACATCCCTACCATGTGTCCAAATTAATGGAGGAGACAGAAATACATTCTTCCCTCAGAATAGGTGAAAGTAACTCAAGAAAGGAAATGACAGTCTTCTGAGGGTCTCTGTTTGAGGCCTAATGCTTGAGGCCTTTTAATCATGTAACAAATGTTTACAGAGCACAGGCCAGGTGCCTGTCATTCAAAGTCAGTTAAGACCCAGTCCCAGTATCCTTACAGAGGCCCTTGACCCGGAGGGCTTTTTTTTTTTTTTTGGCCACGCCATGCAGCTTGTGGGATGTTAGTTCCCGGACCAGGGATCGGCAGTGACAATGCCAGTGAGAGGCCGAGTCCTAACCACTGGACCGCCAGGGAATTACCCCTGGGGGCTTTTTTTTTTTAATTAATTAATTTTATTTATTTATTTTTGGCTGCGTCGGGTCTTCGTTGCTGCGCATGGGCTTTCTCTACCTGTGGAGAGTGGGGGCTACTCTTTGTTGCGGTGCGCAGGCTTCTCATTGCGGTGGCTCCTCTTTGTTGTGGAGCACGGGCTCTAGGCGCTTGGGCTTCAGTAGTTGTGG